ATGCTCACTAGTCCATGAATAAAAGGGGTGTTCGATTAGGCTATTGTCACTGTTGGATATCTGAATAGGCTAGATCCCATTGTATTACAGCAAAGTTGGATATATGAATGGGTAAATGTTTCTTTGGGGTCCAAAGTGGGGAAGTTTTTTAAGTAAGATAAATAACTCGATAGTGTTGAATAGTTTAGAGAAAACATCCCCTCCTCGGGCCTTCGGCCCTCGGAGGGAATGTTTTCTCTAAACTATTCAACACCATCTCGTTATTTATCCATTACGGAGACAACATATTATTCTGGTTAATTTCATTGCCTTTAGTTTCTTAGTGTACACTGAATTTTGGTATTAAACTGTTTTAAACAAAGCTAGTACAAATTTAATTGAACTTTGATTATTTTGCAGGCGTATGTACAAAATTTGCAGATGTGTGTTTTTATTGTGGCGACTTGGATGTGGTAGGGGGAGAGGATGCCCGTATTCGCTGAAAAATTTAGTATTGTGCATCCGATTTGTTCTTCCTGCTTGGAGGAACGACCTCCATCAGTGAGGAATGCAAAGAAAGTTAGACAATAACCTACATTTTAATACTGTGCAACGTTTTATGACATATCCATGTGACTGCAAAACTTTAACCTGCATATTAAAAGTGTTTGAACCTTGAACAATTTTTTTTTTTTTTTTTTTTTTGTAGCCACCCAATGGATATTTTGAATGAAAAAATCCATAAAACAACTAATAAAAAAATGGCCTTATCCACAAGTACAACAAAAAAAGTCCAGAATGTGAATAATTTGAAATTCTCAAAGTCTAAGGGCAATAAATTTCGTGAAAATGGGTCAATCGTCACGAAACTCGAACTTAATCTGTAAGTCATCAATATAAAGACACATACCAAAAATCAGCTCAATATCTATAAGCACGGCAAAAAAAAAAGTCCGGAAAACTAAATTATGACGGGATGACTGACAGTGGAATGAAGAACAGAAAGGGGTAACACTATATGCCCTGACCATTTCATGGCGCGGTCATAAAAATAACAAGTGCATTACTATGAATATATTCTCATTCAAATTAAAGAACTCATAAAATGTTTTATGTTAAAACTTTCAGCGAACAGTTGAACTTGATTAAAATCCACAAATTTCTTTCTACTTTAAACATGTTTAATTAAAGTATGAGACAAAAATTTAGTAAGAGAATATTATCCAAAGTAAAAATACCATTTTCTGAACCCATGTTGGCCTTCTTTAGAAAATATAACGGTATCTGCTGCGTTCCAGGTAGTTCTCTACACGATAACTTAATATATTAGTAATAAGTTTATTACACTCACTAGCTGCAACATAGTGATACAATTTACTGAAGAAAATGAGATAATTAACCAAAAGAGAAAGATTGCCATGCTTGCTTACATGTGAAATATCTGATTTACATTTACACATCAGTTCCCATAAATGTTATGAAATAATACCAGAAGAGCCTCTGCATCGAAATTCACTTCCTTGTAAATTGCAATATTATAAATACGTATTTTGTCGTAATTCTCGGTATATGTAGTCAGTAGCAACCATGTGTACGTGTTATCACTCATACGTCAGTGATTCCTTTTAAAAATGGTTAATATGGGTCCAAGGGACCCCTCTTAATAACAGCAATGCGTCCCATGCCAATATCAATGCGTCCAGATCCAAGGGTGTATCTATTCAGATATTACAGAGGAAATTCTAGCTTACTACAAAGGGGTATTACACAAAAATGCCAAATGTTCCTTTGTAGCTTTGAGTGGTTCATATTATCAACTGGAAGTAAGAAATTAGAATACTTAGTTTTGTGGCATGAAAACAATACATTATCAACTACGAACCTTGGTTCTATTTTTAGATTGTAAATACGATCTCACGTACTGTATCAGACATGAAATGCAGAGGCATACCAACTGTTCTAAACATTTAATAAAGTGAAGAAAGTTTTCAGAAAAAGAAAAATAGTCAGAAAGAATTATGAGTCAATACTTATCAGTTTCTAATGAAAACATTAAAATGATGCGGCATGTAACAACTATAATATATGCTTCAGAAACTCAGTATTTCCACAGTAGACATAATTAAACTATGCTATCTAGATTTTCCAATATTTTTTTATAATTGCTTGTTAACTGCAATTTAACAGTGAGATGTGAAACCTGATCTGTTGTTGGCTACCTTATACCTGCCAAATGACTCGTGCATATCACTTAGCACATGGATATAATGCAATCAACCAATGTCTGTCTATAATTTTATTGCGTCCATCGGGATGCACATTTATTGAAATCATACGTCCTGAGCAAAATTAATGCGTAATTCAAGCAGGACGCAAGCCAAAATGAATCACTGGTACGTATAGTCAACAAATGATTAATTGATATTGTTTTTATTTTTGAATTCATAATGTATATTAACCTTGATGAAGAATAATATAGCAAATTCAGTGGACTACATTATCATGCTTGGGGCACTCGTGAGATGTATATGGGGCACTCGTGCATTGAATATGGGGCGCTTGTACGTGTACTTGGGCGCCCATAAAATTGTTAGGGGCGCTCATGCACGGGGCGTTCTGGTTTTGGGGCGTAGTGACTAGCACTCTACATGTATACTAGCTCATACACCTCCTTCTGTGCGTTTAAGAAGTGGAACCGAATCGTTTGTTAATCGATATAAATTACAACAAAATTTTACCGAATTTCTTCAGATAATCTTCTAATTTCCGTATATAGGGCTTTTTCTTCGTGATCCAATAATTTTTTTTCTGCCATCTCTTACATCTTTCAAGAAAAGTATTCCAGGTTCGAAAAGAAGAGAAAAGTGTATCGTCTTCCAGTATACATTCATAATCACAATCTGCCTCTGTAAATGAACAGTTCTTTGTTGCATTACAATGGAGACCAAGTTTTAACAATCCAAACAAGACCCTGTTAAAACTTTGAAAGTTTAAGGATTGAAGAACATGATCACGATGTCGATGATCATGAATATCATCAATATTTTCTTTGGCTGCCATTGTTAAGCAAGGGATCGGTGCTAGGAATATCAGGAATCCCGGGATTTCGGGAGAATTCCCTACAGGAAGAAGAATCCCCGACAAAAAAGTAGAATCTCCCTAAAAATGAATTATTTGGGATAGATAAAGGGTTTAGGTGGTGATTACTAGAATGGTATTGTTATCCGTACACTTTTATAGCCAATTTTACCTAAACTGAGGGGTGGGGTGGGGGTGAAACCCCTGGACAAGGATAAATGCAGTCTTTCTATTTAATAAATAGGTTAAATATATTTGTTTATTTAAAAAAAATAGTTTTATAGTCACTGCCATTAAAGTTTTGCAATACAGACACCAGATGAGTTCTATGTCCAATTTTTACAATTGTCCATTATCCATTGAGGAAAAAATATAGAAATGGAAAGATAAATCAATTAATCCACTAACACTCCTACGTGTAGAACTTGTCAATATTGGAGAAGCAATGTGAAATATTTCTTACTAAACTGTGAAATTTATAGTGACTTACATCTTGATTTGTATGTACAAGCCAAACTTTTAACAACAAATTTAGATGTTGATTTTAATTTTGATGAGAAAGAGAAGTTGAGTTTTTAATGAACAACTTTGAAATACAGACAGCAGGAGCCAAACTTTAGGTAGTCCATTCCTCAGTTTCTGAAATTCTGCATTTACTTTATTGAATGTCACTGAATTCATAAAGTAATATGTAATACACATGCTATTTCTTCAATTTCATCATGTTATATAGCTGTGAAAGTGATCAAATGGCATTCTGAATTTTTGCAGTATTTTAAATCTTCATTTTACTTCAATTGTTATAAAATACATAAAGTTTAGTGTTAAAAAAAAAAGCATTGTGATATCATTGAAATATATCACTTTTGACAGCTATTTATCACTTCTAATTTCAAATCATGCTAATAGGTAAATTTGATTTTTCACAAAATATATATAATATTATAAAAAAGAGTCATTGACCAGTGCACTCAAGAGCAAACATCAAAAATGTTTGGTTCAGAAAAACTTGAATTTTATAAAAAATTATTCACAAGAAAAAGAAGTTCATATGTTGATTTACTCAGAAAAAGATCTGAGAGATCCTCTCTTAGTAGAATTAGATTAAGTGCACGTAAACTTGCAATAGAAAGTGGTAGATATATTTCCACATCAAGAAAGGAAAGATGTTGTAATGCTTGCAATACTGGTGTGATTGAGGATAAAATTCATTTTCTTTTTCACTGTAAATTTTCCTACGACCATGAATATTGTAAAATTATTTATTTATAATTCGATCAGGATCAAAATCGACTATAGATGCTGTTTTTAAATTTTGACAAGTCATTAGAAAGGCTACAGGAAGCATATAAATCGGAGACATAGAGAATGGAATTTTCATAAAATCTTATAATATTTTCTTTCAATACAGAATATATGTTCTTCGATATGATTAATCTATTAGGTTTTTGAACCAGAGAAGTATGACTGTATACTGATATTCTGTTTGTATTTCTTGAGGGAAAGTTATAATTTATATGGAAAAAATCAGTATTAAACATGTTAGAGTATAATTACTATTAAATAATAATAATATCTATAAATATTTGTTTTCAAAAACTACTAAATTGTTGTCATTATTGGTGGGACTTGGAAATTGCACTCAAGTTATGTGCGGATGTAAGAGTTATCGTTCTTTGTTTTTTAACCGATCAGAATATGCTTCTAAACACTTTTTTGATGATTTTTTATTCAATATATATTTTAACAAAGATAATCTATAAAGATATATTCTTAAACATTACTAAAATATCATATTTCCTGGCATCTTCGCAAGCCAAGGGTTTTCGGGAGCGGACCGAAAACCCTTGGCTTGCGAAGATGATTTCCTGGGGGGACTTATTATTTTTCTGTGGGACTCATGTGGGACTTATTTTCCCCGTGGGACTTGTTTTAGTATGTCCCGCTATGATTCAGCCAGCAGTATGTCTGAATTTTCTCAGTCCTCACTTGGTAGTTTGGATGAAAACGAGCTGCCAAAGAATACTTGTCTTTGGTCAGTTGATCTGATCGATAAATTTGGAATAAAAAAAGTGCAAACAAGTCCGTTCAAATTGATTTTGGAAGAATGGCATTTAGTCGAACTGAATAAAGCTGAATTAGCTAGAATTGCTACGATTGGTAATGTATGCGATTTTCATGGGTTTGATTTCAAGTCATTAGAGGAGATACCTTACAAAGAAGATATGCCTTTTAGTAGATTTGGAAAAGAGTGGTTTTATTCAGCACCCTGTGCTGAACTTAAATGGTAAGTATATTTACAAAATGAAGGGCAAAACTTGATGTATACTTATTGTATCTGATAATTGTTTGATAAAATGTTCATTGTTTAAAGGAGTAGAAGTTTCTGTTATTGAAAAGATCAGGAAAAAATTTGGAAAATCAACATATAAAAAACAACTCATCACATTTTGGTTTTTCTGGTGAATTAATCATAACTTTTAGGGAAATAACACCATTTAGTTGATATAAAGAAACCAGTTTTGCATTGAGGATGGGGCCATCAGGGACCAACCTAGACCCAAAATTTAGAGAGACTTCACTTCTCCCTCAAGGCAAATTAGGGAGAAGTTTTGAAAATCAGGGAGACTTGATACTCCTACGATTAACTTTAACCCCCCCCCCCCCTTCCAATTTTTGGACACTTTCGAAAACTTAAAGATTTTATGTGAGAAGAGATTAAATTTTGTAATTAAATTCTAATTCAAATTTGGCTACAGAAAAGTCAATATGCAGCATATCAAATGGATGAACATTATTTGGTTTCATTGATTTCATGATTGACTTAAAAAAGGATTAATGGACATAATTTTTTGTGTGGAAAACAACTGTTTTCTTAAATGTTAATGTATAGTAACATTAAGTCACGTACTTAACAATTTAAACAAATAAATGAAAATGTTTTCTTGATTGTTGATTTGTTCTATGCTATTGAGAGAATAAATAAGATTAAAAAAAAAAAGTTGGGTGTGTTAGGGGGTATTAGTCTAACCCTGATCTATTTATATCCATAATGCATATATATACAGTTAGCTCATCAAATTGACAACTGTCATGATAACTGTATTTGTTTTTATGATCAGTATACAGCATTTAGGTGTCTTAAATAACTTGAAACTGATTTAATAACTAATTACAAAACACCGGTGGTCATTTACCAGATGTTTTGCATCACTAACTTTTATAACTCCAAGATACATTTTCCTCTCAAATTAATTTAATTAAGATGATTTTATGATAGCAAATGAAAAAAGTAGGGTGACTGAAACTTCTCTCTCTCTTGAAAATACAGCGAAGTTTGAAGCCTCAGGGCGACTATTTCGCCCAAGTCGCCCCTAGGTTGGTCCTTGGCCATTCAGCCATCCCTATTAAGCTTATAGACAAAGGAGGACACTATCAAGACTGTAAGATTGTTATAGTAAATTGGCGATTCCATTTTCCCTCTGGTGGTTGGTTAATGTATGTGTAGGTCAGATTTACAGCCAGGTACGAGTACATTGTCGTGATGTTTTTTATTTCTTTGATATAGGTTGATGATCGGTCTATCATAATATATGGCGCTCCACCATATTAGACATATCCTGTATTAAACTGACTTATAATAATTTGTCCTATTCACAGAATTCAGCAAAAACTTATTCGGAAGTGCAGATTCAAGTTTGTTCAAACTGTGGCCTATATGCAGCTAGGATGGGTCTAAAATATAAATTCAAAGTTTTACATGGGAATATATAGACAATTAAAAAAATATTCTTTTCAACTGTAGCAGGGTCATACAAAATCAAATTAATATGCAAACATTCCAAGTTTTGTGAGTTTTAAATTTTTCTAATTATGGACCATGGGGTTAGGATGAAGCTAAAATCAGGGATCAGATTTCACATAATGCATGTATACTGGGAAAAAAATCTTCTCCGGAACAGCAAAGCTATGTTAGTCATATTGATATTAAAGAATCTCCATGTTGTTTGGATTTAACATGTTTAAGTTTGGTTAAGTCATGACCCCTTGGAGCTAGGGTGGGGCCAAAATATAGGGTCAAGATTTTTCATGGGAGGAAATAGCAATGAAAATCTTTCAAAAATCTTCTGATGAAAAACAGCAGGCCCAAGGCTACTCATGTGAGCGTTGTGGCCATGGGCCTCTTGTTTAGCCTTACAAAGGTTGATTTTGAATACAATTATATCATATCAAGGTGTAAATATTAAGTTTATCTTTTTCATTTTCAACATAGGGAACCAGAAATTTACCCCCAGGAAAAATGTTCAAAGACAATGAAATATTGATTAATAGAAATCACTGTTGCTTACTTAAATGGTGAAAATACATGTAAATGAAGTGTTCAATTAATTTTCTTGACCTGATTAAATGTTAGGATTGCTTGAATTGATTACAAATTGAGGAATACACTGTAGATTTCAATTTTCTTTAATTTAAATCTAAGGGCAGATCACTCTTAGTGATTAAGAATTAGAACTCTTTAGTGTGCAGTGTATAAGAGGGTCTTACAAATCTTCTTTTCAAGAACAGGTGGATTATGAATGTTATATTAGCATCCTTAGAAAGTGCAGATCAAGATAGTTTGAATCAGGCCCTTGGGGGCTAGTGTGGGGGATACAATAGCGCATAAATTTTTTTTATAGGAATATATAGGAAAAAATCTTTTTTCTAGAACTACCGGGGCATTAGTCATATTAATATGCAAGCATCCTGGTGTTGTGAAGATTCCTATTTATTCATATTCATGACCTCAGGGGGTAGGGTAGGGCCACACTATGGTGTCAAAGTTTTTCATAGAAATATAAAGGAAAAAAATCTTTTAAAAATTTTCTTTAGAAAAACAGCAAGGCCAAGATGACTCAGGTGAACTTGTGGCCGATGGCCTCTTCTTCTCAAGAATTACAAGGCTAAATACTGTCAGGCATTCTTATTAGTTACCATTCAAACTGGTTCATACCATAAGCCTTGGGATGGAGATGGGGCTACAAAAGGGGCAAAAGTTTTACATAGAAATTTTAATGGAAAAATCTTTTAAAATATATTTCTCAAGTACTACAAAGCCACAGATTGTGAAATTTATAAAATTGTTGAACTTATATGCAAGCATAAAATGAGATCAAACTAATGGACCCTTGGGCAAGAAAGTTGAGGTTACCTAGGAGTCCAAAGTTTACACAGTGTGTATGTTATATCTCTAAATTTTCTTCTCTAGAAATAAATAGTTCGTTGTTAAAATTGAATTTAACCATACTCATTTAGTATAGATTCAAGTTCTCCCGTCTTTTTTTATATTGGACACTAATTTGCAGATTTTGAACTTAATTTTGATACCTTAGTCTACCTTGATGAGATATGGATTGAATTTGAATTTAGTTCTGCTTCATTGATTTTTGACAGAATTAAGGCCCTTGGACTTAAAAAATTTAACATATTTACAGGTTTTCTTGATTTTTTTAAAATGCTTGCAAATATTGAGCTGATATTTGGTATGTAAGTCTACCTTGAAGAGTGAAAGATTACTTCACATTTTGTTCTGTTTGATGATTTTTGATGGAATTACAGCCCTTGGACTCCTGCCAGTAGGGGATGCAGTATTGCATATGCAATGCTTTTAGATACTTGTTTAAAATGTGTTGCCAAGTTTTTTAAAAAAAAATCATTTTTTAAGTTTCAGTGACAATCTTGAAGAATTTAGGTTTCGTCTGTTTGATTTCATCAAGCAAATACAGTCACCAAGGAATAGAGAGAATGAGGAACCATTTGAAATAGAGTACAACCATCTCTTTGAGAGTTTACTCAAATTATTCGAATTTAGAACAAAGTAAGTCATTTTTTGCTCATCTGACAGTTGATAAATTTGTGACATTTATAATATAAACTAAAAGACAGATGAAAAAACATGATACCTTATTAAAATCCCTCGATCAGGATAGAAACTTTATAAATGATTAAATGTAGAGATTAAAGTTATGTCTGAAACTCTCAGTTTGTGCATTTCAGGGAAATGTGGCACTTGAAATTGGGAAAAAGGGGGGGGGATGCAATAGTGTATTTAAAAAAGATCAAGGGGTTTCAATAAAATTTCTACTACCACTTCCACCCATGTATTTTGGACATTGATTGCCAGCTGACTTATAAAATAACCTGTCTTTATTAGATATGCTTTCCATAATGTTAAATATTTAACAGAACATGTCACTATAAAACTATGTACAGACTTGTTCTTTAATTTCAGTTATTGAGATAATTTAAGAACATGTTCTTATTTGAAAATTGAAATAATTTGTTGAGGATTTTTCAGAAAGCAGAGTACAATATCTATGTGCTCACATCTTCACAAGTATTGTTGGAGATTGTAGTTTCTTTTTGTGTCACACCATGAAACAGTAGGGGCATTATGGTGCTAGCTTTTTCCATCTGTCATTCCATCATTCTGTCATCATTTGAGACTTCTTTTTAGCTCACTTAAACAAAAGGCTCAATTGAGCTTTTTTCTGGCACATCTTTTTACCACAAGGAATCACAAGGAACCCCAAGGATACCCTCATTGGTACATTATTAATCAATATATATAGCAAATTTCAGATAAATATATGCTCAAATAAATAAAATATGGCAATTTATATTATATGAGGTATTGCCTTACGGCGCACGGAAGATAGCGTCAAGATGCCTTTTGCAACGTCATGTTTCCTCTGTTTTGATAATCTGCTTTAAAAAATGTTGTTAAAAATGCTTACACTAAAACAAGAATTTCCCTCCTTAAGCAGGCGAGGGACTAGTCTCGCACACACATGGGATCTTCTGAAGTTTTGCTTTAGTATGTTATCGAGGTACTTTTACCATATTCAACTAAACAGGCGATCTCGCGAACAGTTTTTCAGCTATCTGCATTATTAGCATCGTTCATTACTGCTAGTAGCTGTTTATTCGTATGTTTTAGTTTATCTTGGGACTCGAAGCCAAAAATTCCTCTTAAAAAGCCATTAAAATGCCATTTTATTCCAAGGATCAAGTAATACTCTGATATTTTACCCTCTTCTGTTATCGTTTAAAAGTCTGCGGAGATGTCAGTCCCAAATGTACATACAGCTGAAGTGCTCTCCGGTTCGCCGCAACATCATCAAACGTCGTCATTTTTCGTCTTTTGCGCTTATCACTAGTTTATTTCAAATCCTCGGCAAACAATCAAAAAGTACGCAAATACCCAGAACTTTTCAAAATGACGACATAATTGTTAGTGACTTAAAATATGATCACCCTGATGTGTTCAATGCTCTTGTTTTTGACTTATTACTCGCATATTCTCTGATGAAAGCCTGATTTTTTTGGTCCTGCGCCGTAGGACCATACCCTATGCACATTCAAGCATAATAAAAATCTTATTTTTATTTATATTTTGGCAAAGTAATGTTATATTCAAATATGATAGATAAACACTTGCTGAAAATTTCAGCCTAGTGTGCAAATCATTTTTTATGTAACACGCTTTGTCCACGACTTTACCGGACAGCTCTCGTATTTTTTGGACGACACACGGCCTCATTAATGTTTTGTATGTCTTCTGCAACAAGAATATCATGTGTACCATCTTCTCGTAAATGCTCATGTGCGTATATACTTTAGCCATATTTACCTAGTAGGTTCTTAATGTAATGCATGTATAAAGCAGAGATTGCCTAAAAAATAGCTTACATTCCATTTATGCTGCATTACGAGTACTAGACGTCCTTAATTTTCAAGTATCTCTAGAGTAAAACAAAACAAACTCCAAATGAATCGATAGCTTTTGGTCATCAACAATTGATATACCCCTTTTGGCAAAATTGAGTACTGTAAATAAATATTTAATTAGATCAAATCTTTAAGAGATTCTTAAAAAAAGGACAGCTCTCTCTTGATTTAGCGTTATGCCGAGCCACTAGAAATGATTGTATTTACATGTAACTGGAATACTTTGGGAGAGCAGCTAAGCTATATGGACATAGGCACATGTGCTTTTGCACTGCCTTTCGCACGATACGTGTATGACTCTAACTTTCCTTCACATTTTTCTAAATGATAGATTAGTGCAATCCGAATTACTGATTCAGTCTTTATATTTAAAATTTTATTATATGACTAAATGATTTTGTTCAAAATGTAATTATTTCGATAAGTATGCAAAATAGACAATCGGGATTGGTATTCAACTCGACACAATGTTTCATTAAACCGTTTCGTATCATCGACACTATCAGTGTTTACTCGTGTTAAGTTTGTTTATTTTCATCTTTTTCTTTTCTTTTTTTTTTCTTTTTATTACTTTTTCCCTTAGCTTTGTTCTTTTTTTTATCTGTTGAATAAATAAATATCCCGAGAGTCGATTTTACACACATGTCAATTATTTGCATAAAACAAAAAAAGTCTACGTGATGTGAACTCGCACTGGATTTTTTTAAAATGTTAACATTTATGTAGTGTAAATTAATATATCTAGAAAATATCATATTTTCTTCCTGTTTACTATGTGTTAGGACCATAAGTAATACAATACTTGATAACATATTCAAGTTCATAAGGGCTTACAGCTTTATTTACTTAAAACATGATCAAAAAATTGCGGACCTAGAATCTTGGTAAACTAAATGATAGTTTCAAGTTTGTAAGAGTTGTAATCGTAGCAAATTGAAAAAGAAACAAGATAATCAACTTTCATGTGTTATATGAATTATATACACACACAGACTGTACATATAACATGACATTCTTCAACAACCATTATCACACAGTGCTGGTGATAGTCACAGGCACCTGAGGTATGTAAAACGTACATCTACATACCCCTCCCCCCCCCCCCCCCAAAAAAAAAAAACTTAATTATCAAAATATGAAATTTCCTCGTCAATCACGTCTATACATGTATGTCATCCTGTGATTTTTTAAACTTTAGAGATTGGCCATATGCGATATAATAAAAATACAGCTAAGTGGGGTGGGGTGTACGATTTCCATACCTCAGGTGCCTGTGGTGATAGCTGCACGTAATTTACTGTCTGCGTGCTTGTGAATGCGTGATTACATGAAAACAATTTATTTTAAATATTTAATCATCTATCATTTATTATAACATTGAACAAGTTCATACATTGAGGAATGGGTCACTCTTTACATAGCGCACTCTGGACCAACCATGAGATTTCCGACACGGCATTTCTTATAAATATAGACAAATAAAATATACTACAAAGGCATCTAAATACTTTACAGATTTGGATTCACCCTCTATAAATGTTGTCTGTGTTCACATCAGCTGTTTGGCATTCGTTTCCAACATATATATTGTGTAAAAGCATGAACAATTACATTGCATATTTCATCTCCAGACTTTATTGTTTATGAAAATAAATGCTGTTCACACTCAATAACCGACACAAATTTAATACTAGAGGGATATTTTTAATTAACAATTTTATGTGCCAAATATGAAAGTGGTTAATGCATGTGAAAATATTTGATTTAATCAAAGTTTACTGATATCATATGAAAAATAAATGGATTTCGCCGAGCAGCCGGTGTTTGGCATGGTTTTATGACGTCACTATTACATATCACGTCATTTTCATACATGTTGACATTAGCTTTGATTCCATTGTTAACGAAACATAAAAGATAAAGACAAAGTACCGTGGTTGTAAAATCCTTAAATTTCCCGGTCGTATACGGCCAATAACGTACTTTGTTCTTTCATACCAGCTTTTCTTTTAAATTTTAATTTTCCTTTCATTATAACATTTTTCATTCAATTTGTCACATTTTAGACATTCATATACATTATTTGTCCATTTATAACAGATTTCCGAATCATTTATCCCCAGATTTAGAAGATAAGCACATTGATTATTTTTTGGAGAAAAAATATTTTTTCCAGTAAAAATGTTGAATATTGTGAAATGTTGCAATTTTCTTTATATATATATGTCAATTGACACTGAGATTTCTGCAATTTTATTGATTAAGAAACTATTCTGAACAGACTGAAACATTGATGTACAAATAGTTGAGTTATTATTGCACTATATCATAGACATTTTTACAAATGCATATAAACCATGTTTAGATTTATTAAGGTTAAATGGAGTGTCATTGGGGTATCCTTGGGGTTCCTTGTGGTGAAAGGTGCACCGAGCTTTTCTGAATGAAGGGTGTCTGGTGTCTGACTGTCTGTCTGTCTTTTGTCCGTCATGTCGATCTTCTTTAAACTTTTCACATTTTAAACTTCTCCAGAACCACTCAGCCAGTTTCAACCAAACTTGCAACAAAGCACCCTTTGGTGAAGGGAATTCAACTTTGTTCAAAAGAAGAGCAACTCCATCTTTCAAGGGGAGATAATGAAGAATTACTGAAAAGTTTGAAACAACTGGGGGAAAAAAGAAGAAACATGTGCAAGCTTTCTGATGTGTTGTTAATTCAAGTTTGTTCAAATCATGGCCCCTGGGGGTAAGGGTATAGCCACAATAGAGGAACAAAGTTTTACATGGGAATATAAAGAAAAAAATCTTCAAAAGTGTTCTTCAGAGCTTGTCTGTCTGTCTGTCACTGCAATCATTTCCAAACCATAGATTTGTAATATAGAAGCATTGTAAGCTCATACTTAACACAGGGATTGCTTAAGACCTGAAGGTGTGTCATGACTATGACCTAAGGTCATTTGGACAAGTGCAAGGTCACTGACAAAAAAGAAATTAAATGTGAAATTCTTATTTTGGCCTGATCTTTTAATGGAGAAACAATGGAAGCTCATACAAAGAAAAAGATTACATATCACCTGAAGGTATGCTCTGAACAGACTCAAAGTCAGTTAAGGAAGTTCAAGGTCATTTGAAGGAAAAAGTGCAATGTTTGTATGTGGTTCATTACTTTCTGACAAAGAAACATTGGAATCCCATACTTGACACAAAAATTGCTTATGAACTGAGGGTGTGTCATAACCTTGAACCAAATTCATTTGGCAAGTTCAAGGTCACTGGCAGAAGAAGTGTACATTTGTGTCTGGTTTGTAACATTCATGGAGAAGCATTAGAAGTTCATACTTCACACAAAGATTACTTACAACCTAAGGGGTGTGTCATTACTTTGACCCAAGGTCATTTGTACAAGTAAAAGTTCATGGGAAGATAAATGTATAATTCCTATCATGGTCATATCTTGTATTGGAGTCATTAGGACAAGTTTAAGGTCACTGACAGAAAAATGTGTTATTCTTTTCTGGGTCATATCTTTGTAAAGGACAAATACTGGAAGCCAATAGTAGGAAAAGATGGCTTATGACCTGAAGATGTGCCATGACTGTGACTCAAGGTCATTAAGAAAAGGTCAAGTCACTGGAAGAAAGCAGGAATAGTTTAAAATTTCTTTCCAGTCCATGTCATTGTAAGGAAGAATCATTGGAAGCTCATTGTTGACAGAAAGATTGCTTATGGCTTGAACGTGTGTCAGTAGGGTGTATCATTTTGTGAACTCACTCACAGTACCTCTAGTTCATATAGCAAGGGCGTTCACTAAAGGGGCTGCAGGGGTGGCAGCTGCCTCCCCAAAAATTTTGCGAAAAAATATATGAAAATACATAAAAGGTTATGGTGATAGGTGCTCATTGTTGCAGCGAATAAAACAAGGGACATATATACTAATATATATATAGCATAGTTAATATATAGGTCCCTGGTAAAACTGCAAACAGTAGTCAAGTGGTGAATTGAGCGGCGAGATGTACATGTGCAGAGTGGGATATGGATACCTGTACCTAGCAAGTGTTGACAATTAACAGGGTATTAATTAGCTCTTCTTGTAGTAAATGCGAGAGCCAATGTGAATTTACAATTTTTCTTTGTCAAATTAATCATTGTATTGTTTTGTAACTTTAATGATTGCAACAGGTTGTAAATCATAAAAAAATTATAGAAAAATATTATGATGATACTAAAAATTATGTTAAAATCTAAAACAATTTATATCTTTTACTATTGTCCTATTTCTGCATTTCAATTTCATGGAATGGAACTGAGAAATTAAAAAAGTTAATAACCTGTACATTTCATTTTTTTCTTAAACATAACTTCGACAATAGTTCAATCACGAACTGCATCAAAGGTTAAATATCCAGTGCCTTTCATCAGATTTCTTGAAGGGGGGGGGGTTAGCTGCAGCTCACTGGTCTTAAAATAATTGAGTTGGATGACCAGAGTCTCTGGTTGTCCATCCCCATTTTTTTTTAGACCAGTAAGCTACAGAAGACCTGCAGCTAGGGAGGGAGGGGGCTAGCCAAAAAAAACCCCAAAAATAGCAACCTTACTTTCAATGGATGCATAATGAATTTATTTTGTGTCAAAATAATATTTTTAACATTTTTTAAAAGGGAAGGTGTGAGTGCACCCCTACGCACCCCCCCCCCCCCTTCCCGACGACTTTCGCAATATAAGTCACCTCACCTATCCTTTTTGTGCTCACTTTTGCAAATTTAATTGAAAAATATATTATATTTTTCTAATTTGAGTAAGACTACATTTAAAAAGATTACAACTTTGTTTTATTTCAAATGGTGCTATTATGTTGATGAGAAAGAGAAATAAATATCGAAATATTTGTCAAAATCTGAATTTCAAGTCAAACCAGGTCCGAACACTTCTCCCTTATTTCAGTATCAATTTGCCTCCCCAATGTTAAATACCTTCTGACGCCCCTGTATAGAATATCTTTAGGTAAAGTATGTGCAGTGACCTTGAATCAAATATTAACTCAAATTCAAGGTCAAAATAGATATTTGTTAATAATAATATACCTGGCATTTAGACATACAGTCAACCTCGTTTTCTTGAACTCATAGGGACCAGAAAAAAATTCGAGATATCTGAGGATTCGAGATACCGAGATTAAAATACAAAAAGAAAGGGTGGTTGGGACTTCCAAATCACTTTGACATACCCATGGTATTTGAGATATCGAAATTCGAGATACTGAAGTTCAACTGTATATTATACTTTCTCTCCTCAGAACCCAATCTCACAAGCACTTTATCCATACTGGAGTGTTTGTAGTTTCATACTCGTTGGACAAACTCAAAACTGATCATTTTTTGAATTATTCGAATTGAACAAAATTACTTATCTCTTTGCTCAGCATTACTTGCATTTCACCCATATAATATCCTTTGATGAAAGATGTGCAGTGACTTCTAAATAGATTGTAAGTTAAACTTGACACATCTGTATTTTTATTTTCCTTGTTGAAATCTTGCTTGAAATGGGCATCATCTCAGTGATATCTAAATCATTAATGAAAGAGAACACAGACTTCAGTCCACCTTTAGCTCATCTAAGTCAAAAGGCACATGCATGCGGACAACGTATTTGATACATTATGACTGATTGATTAATTCTCATCCATAGCATTTGAAAATTTATTTAGATATCAACCACAATTTCCAAGAGGGCATGCAACATTATTCGGCCAAGAAATATTTTCAAAAGCTGATATTATTGGCCAAAAATGTGATGAACCAGAAGAAATACTATTTGTCTGTAAGGTAGGTTAGAAATTTAATTTTTTTTATATAGATATTGAAATTTTAATAATCGCCCTGACATTTAATAGCTACATATATGTTGATTTTTATCAAAACTCTGTTTTGTTATATATATTGTGAAAAGTATTGGGGAGGAGGTCAAAAGGACTGTGACTAACATGGATTGAAAAAATCACATTATCTTAATCTGTAATTGCTCTCCGAAAAATTCCTGGCTGATTATTATTTCATATCCTTTTCACAGCCATAGCGTAAAAATGAGTAATGACCAAAACGGAGATTCTCACCCCCCTGTGCTGGACCCCAAGGGAAGATATCATAACGTATTTGGAATGCGATAGTAGGAGAAAGAGTATTCTATCAGTTGTTAAAAATATAAAGCTCTACCTTTATTCTGTCTAATTTCAGAGATTCTCAGATATGCGACAGGCATAGGGGTTTTATAGAATTTTTCCAGATATCCATACCCTGCAAACTTTGTCCGGTATAGGTTCCACTTAATAGGCAGGTACACAATCTGCACTCAGAGCCCCTTGTGTGGCTCATACCTCGTATGCATTCGGATCACCTATACCGGCCAAAGTTTGATGAGTATGGAAATCCGAAAAAAAAATGATTTCGTGAAACTCCAATGCCTGTCTAGTGTTTGAGGAATATGCACATCCTTTTTAAAAAAAAATTCTATGAAGTCGTACATGCATACAAATTCTGTATACTATGTATTTTTATGCAGAAAAAAAACCGTTTATTTGTCATGTTCATATTTGCCTATCTTCCAGTTATTGATTAAACTTATGTTATCATGATTATGTCTAAAACCGTGAATGATAAAAAATGTTCATACAAGCAATTATTTTCTATGACATTACTTGCCAAATATTAAAGTGTAGTTTTTAGCTCACCTGAGCCAAAGGCTCAAGTGAACTTTTCTGATCACATTTTGTCAGGCGTCCGTCTGTCTGTCCGTCTGTAAACTTTTCACATTTTCGACTTCTTCTCCAGAACCACTGGGCCAATTTCAACTAAACTTGCCACAAATTATCCTTGGGTGTAGGGGATTCAAGTTTGTTCAAATGAAGGGCCATGCCTCCTTCCAAGGGGAGATAATAAAGAATTAGTGAAAATTTAATGGCATCTTTTAAAAATCTTCTTCTCAAGAACCAATGAAGCAGAAGACTTGAAACTTATGTGAAAGCTTCATTACATAGTGTAGATTCAAATTTGTTCAAATCATGACCCCCGGGGGTAAGGTGGGGCCACAATGGGCGATCAAAGTTTTACATAAGAATATATAGAAAATTTTTTTTTAAAATCTTCTCCTCAAGAACTAATGGAGCAGAAGAGTTGAAATTTATGTGAAAGCTTCATTACATAGCCCAGATAAAAGTTTGTTCAAATCATGACCCCCCTGGAGTAGGATGAGACCACCATGGGATATCAAAGTTTTACATAAGAATATATAGGTAAAATTTTATAAAAATCTTTTTCTTAAGAATAACAATGGCATGAATAGTCATATTATTCTGGAAGCATCTTCAGGTAGTGAAGAATCAAGTTTGTTCAAATCATGACCCCCGGGGGTAGGGTTGGGCCACAATGGGCGATCATAGTTTTACATAGGAATATATAGAAAAAAATCTTTAAAAATCTTCTTCTCAAGAACCAATGGAGCAGAAGAGTTGAAATTTATGTGAAAGCTTCATTACATAGCCCAGATAAAAGTTTGTTCAAATCATGACTCCCGAGGGTAGCTAGGTGGGGCCACAATTGGCGATCAAAGTTTTACATTAGAATATATAGGAAAAATTCTATAAAAATCTTCTTCTTAAGAACAGCAAAGGCATGAATACTCATATTTATGTGGAAGCATCCTCAGGTAGTGTAGATTCAAATTTGTTCAAATCATGGCCCCCAGGTGTAGGGTGGGGCCACAATAAGCATTCAAAATTTTACACAGGAATATATAGGAAAAATCTTTAAAAATCTTCTTTTCAAGAACCATCTGGCCAGAAGAGTTAGTGAGTTAAAATGCAAGGATCATAAGATATTGGAGATTCAAATTTATTCAAATCATGGCCCCCAGGGATAGGGTAGGGTTTCAATAAGGAGTTAAAGCTTAACATGATACTATATAGGGGGAAAAAAGTAAAAATTTTCTGAAGAGCAGCAAGGTCATGATCAGTGATGTTGACATCCAAGCATCCCAGGGCTCAACATTAACTTTAAAACAAACTAGACCAGTCGGACTAGTTATTGAAAATTTTACTAGACCTGACCTCAACTTCACTGGACCTGACCTTATATCTGTGAATCACTGAATGATACATTAGTTTTTTTGCTAAAATAATTACATGAATTCAATATATTAGACATTTTTAAAGAAAGTAATCTTGTTTCAGTGTAAATAAGATATACTTTTGAGATTGCCAAAATAAATCATCAATAATTTATACAGTAACACCTATTATTTTGATTGCTGCACATTTATAATCTGATGAAGCGGAAATAAAAATTACTTAAAAAGACAGTTATCTTGAATGCTTAGACCAAGTATTGATAAATGACACAACTGTTTTTAAACCTCTTTTATTTAGTGTAGAAAAAAACTTCTTTGTTTAAGCAAATAAAAGTTTTGATTTGACTAGAAAACATAATATCATAATCATCAATGATCAGAAGATGCTTAACAGAGCAAGTTCAGAGTTAATTAAATTCAGCACGTCTTGCCCTTTGTCCTCCATGCTACCACAGTACTGCAGCTCTACTGGCATTGTAATCCTTAGATTCTGGACCTGCGATAGATATGGCCATCAAGTAGTTCAACATTTCAGAACTCAGACTTGCCCTCCAATCAGATTTTATCCTTGCCATGGCAGAGAATCCACGTTCACAGATGGAGCTGGACATGGGAATACACATGACTATTTCAGCAAGCATAAGTATGTTTCTGAATGTGTCTTTCAGGTTTGGATCACAAAACAATCTCTGATAAAACTCATGTACTCCGATTCCAATGTTTTGACGTCTCATGTGAACTTTCAGACCTGGCCATTCCACCTGCTTTAGTTGCTGAACATTGCAGTTCATCCTGTTCAAGACGACAGTATAGTACTCACATAAGGCATTTATCTCCTGTTCTCCATAAATTGCTCTTGCAGCATCTGTTTCAGGTAGGTTAGTAGGATAGAAAACTTGCATATCCTTCAATAAGTGGTCTGAATCTATATCTCCTACTCGTTTGTTAATATGGTCAATAACAGATTGAAGAAGGCCATACTGTTTCCTTTTTAACGGATCAGGTGTAGAAGTTGGAGCAAGAAAGTTAACACCTTTGAATCTGTTTCCCTCATCAATATTATCAAGAAAGAACTGCAACTTTTCTCCAGGCCTTTGCTGCAGTGCTACAAGTTGCAGAGTAGCAGTCTCTAGAGCCTCCACAGGATAAGACAATTGCTTAAATGTGGCATCCATCTAGCACCGTCCAGGTTAACTGGCTTTATCATTTTTGCCTCCATAGCTTCTGCTAGCATCTGGAGTTCTCTTAAAGCTTTTGAGCTGTAATGATAGTGTTTATGTAGACTCAGCAGTACAGATTTAAGATCGGCAAAAGTTTCGAATCTCTGTCTTTCATTGCATCCAGAGCTCCCAATTCGAGCCTATGACACACACAATGCATAGCAAATAAATGAGGTACTTCATCTTTCAGAAGCTTCGTCACACTGTGTTTTTTCCCAAGATTCACACTAGCACCATCCGAGCCAGTAGCAATTAAACGTTCTTTCCAGTTCCACCCTTCTTCAACACTATTCATGGCTGATTCAATAGCAGCTAAAACACCTTCTGGATGTGCATGCTCTACTCCCTCTATGCTAATGTATACATTTTTTGCCACACCTTGATCTACATAACGAGCATAAATTATTTCATTTTCACATACAGAAGTATCTGTAGCACCATCAAACATGATGGATAGAACTCTAGCATCTTTTAGACCTTTGAGATTTTGCTGCTGGATATCATTATAGATATACTCCATGAAACGTCTACATGCCATATCAGTCTGATAACTGGAGGGTAATTCTACTCCGTTTTTAGCCTGAAGTTCTAGTATCTTTGGGTAAAGGGTAAACGGAAGCTCATTCTTGGCAATGAAATAGTCAGTATTAAAGGCATGGACAATTTTTTCTTTCTGATTTTCATTCAATCTTTGTACAGCTATATCATGTGCCCCAACAAGGGGTGGCCTTAATGCAGCTACTTCATCACTTAAGCATGCGGCTGATTCGCTAGCTTTTGTGTCTACTTCACCAGCGTAAGCGCAAACAACTGTTTTTGATTTCTCTTTTAAACATTCAATATCATATTTTCTTTGTGATGCAATATGAGACTTGCTTGCCTCATGTTGTTTTATAGCATCTACCCGAAAATTATTCGTCTTAATACAAAACGACCCTCTTTTTAGCTCTACTGGTCAGAGACCAGAAGAGCTTATGCGATAGTAAGGTGTCCGGCGTCCGTCCGTCTGTCTGTCTGTCTGTCTGTCTGTCTGTCTGTCCGTCTGTCTGTAAACAATTTTTCAAAATGCTACTCCTTCTACAGTTTTGGTCTGATTTCAATATAACTTGGCACACAGGTAGACTACACTAAGATACATAATCTAGTGCATTGGTTTTTGATTTGGATGAGCGGTGTTGCCATGGTTACTAAAAATAGAAATTTCTGTGAAATTCCTTTAAAACCCTACTCCTCATACAGTTTTGGTCTGATTTCAGTATAACTTGGCACACAAGTAGACTACACTAAGATACATAATCTAGTGCATCGGTTTTTGATTTGGATGAGCGGTGTTGCCATGGTTACTAAAAATAGAAATTTCTGTGAAATTCCTTTAAAACGCTACTCCTCATACAGTTTTGGTCTGATTTCAATATAACTTAGCACACAAGTAGACTACACTAAGATACATAATTTAGTGCATCGGTTTTTGATTTGGATGAGCAGTGTTGCCATGGTTACTAAAAATAGAAATTTCTTTGAAATTCCTTTAAAACCCTACTCCTCATACAGTTTTGGTCTGATTTCAATATAACTTGGCAAACAAGTAGACTACACTAAGATACATAATCTAGTGCATCGGTTTTTGATTTGGATGAGCGGTGTTGCCATGGTTACTAAAAATAGAAATTTCTGTGAAATTCCTTTAAAACCCTACTCCTCATACAGTTTTGGTCTGATTTCAATATAACTTAGCACACAAGTAGACTACACTATGATACATAATCTAGTGCATCGGTTTTTGATTTGGATGAGCGGTGTTGCCATGGTTACTAAAAATAGAAATTTCTGTGAAATTCCTTTTAAACGCTACTCCTACTACAGTTTTGGTCTGATTTCAATATAACTTAGCACACAAGTAGACTACACTAAGGTACATAATCTAGTGCATCGGTTTTTGATTTGGATGAGCGGTGTTGCCATGGTTACTAAAAATAGAAATTTCTTTGAAATTCCTTTAAAACCCTACTCCTCATACAGTTTTGGTCTGATTTCAATATAACTTGGCAAACAAGTAGACTACACTAAGATACATAATCTAGCGCATCGGTTTTTGATTTGGATGAGCGGTGTTGCCATGGTTACTAAAAATAGAAATTTCTGTGAAATTCCTTTAAAACCCTACTCCTCATACAGTTTTGGTCTGATTTCAATATAACTTAGCACACAAGTAGACTACACTAAGATACATAATCTAGTGCATCGGTTTTTGATTTGGATGAGCGGTGTTGCCATGGTTACTAAAAATAGAAATTTCTGTGAAATTCCTTTTAAACGCTACTCCTACTACAGTTTTGGTCTGATTTCAATGTGATTTGGCATACAAGTAGACTCTATTAAGATTCATAATCTAGTGCATCGGTTTTTGATTTGGATGAGCGGTGTTGCCATGGTTACTAAAAATAGAAATTTCTGTGAAATTCCTTTAAAATGCTACTCTTCCTACAGTTTTGGTCTGGTTTCAATATAACTTGGCACACGAGTAGACTACACTAAGATACATAATTTAGTGCATCGGTTTTTGACTTCTATGAACGATGTTGCCATGGTTACTAAAAATAGAAATTTCTGTGAAATTCCTTTTAAACGCTACTCCTACTACAGTTTTGGTCTGATTTCAATATAACTTAGCACACAAGTAGACTACACTAAGGTACATAATCTAGTGCATCGGTTTTTGATTTGGATGAGCGGTGTTGCCATGGTTACTAAAAATAGAAATTTCTGTGAAATTCCTTTAAAACCCTACTCCTCATACAGTTTTGGTCTGATTTCAATATAACTTGGCACACAAGTAGACTACACTAAGATACATAATTTAGTGCATCGGTTTTTGATTTGGATGAGCGGTGTTGCCATGGTTACTAAAAATAGAAATTTCTTTGAAATTCCTTTAAAACCCTACTCCTCATACAGTTTTGGTCTGATTTCAATATAACTTGGCAAACAAGTAGACTACACTAAGATACATAATCTAGTGCATCGGTTTTTGATTTGGATGAGCGGTGTTGCCATGGTTACTAAAAATAGAAATTTCTGTGAAATTCCTTTTAAACGCTACTCCTACTACAGTTTTGGTCTGATTTCAATGTGATTTGGCATACAAGTAGACTCTATTAAGATTCATAATTTAGTGCATCGGTTTTTGATTTGGATGAGCGGTGTTGCCATGGTTACTAAAAATAGAAATTTCTGTGAAATTCCTTTAAAATGCTACTCTTCCTACAGTTTTGGTCTGGTTTCAATATAACTTGGCACACGAGTAGACTACACTAAGATACATAATTTAGTGCATCGGTTTTTGACTTCTATGAACGATGTTGCCATGGTTACTAAAAATAGAAATTTCTGTGAAATTCCTTCAAAATGAAATTCCTCCTACAGTTTTGGTCTGGTTTCAATATAACTTGGCACACAAGTAGACTACACTATGATACATAATTCAGAGCATCAGTTTTTTTATTTTGATGAACGATGTTGCCTTGGTTACTAAAAATAGAAATTTCTGTGAATTTCTTTTAAAACGCTACTCCTCCTTCAGTTTTTATTTGATTTCAATTTAACTTGGCACACAAGTAGACTATATGAAGATATATAATTCTATTTATTGATGCATGTTGCAAAGTTTCGAATCCAAGTGCTACTTTTTCTTTGTTACATGTATATGTACAGACCAGTAGAGCTACAGTCTCATCAGAGACTTCTGGTTTATATTTCCTACAAGGGATACAAAACATCAAGTTTTCAGTCTCGTCGCAGTCTACCCATTTGTGGTCATCTTTCCACTTGGAATAAAATTCTCTTTTTCGCTTTTCTTTTTCATATTTTCTTTGGTTTCTGTTCTTCCCTTTGGTTTCTTTGATGTACCCTCTTCGTTTTTTCCTCCACCGGAGAAACCATAGTCGAACAATGACATCGTCAATGTAAACAAATTGATGGCTATTAGTTGGTCAATATTTTTTTTTATTTAATTTGATTTTTTTGTGAACAAAAATATTCTAAATTAATTCATATCGAATACAAAATATATCAGAAAGGGAGATATATTTCTAATCGATTCTAAAGACCTGAAATCATACACCGCAGATGTCGTAAACATGACCTAGCAGGAAGGATAACTCCATAGCAGAGTTAGTCCTTTTAAAATTGTTGAGAGAAAATCTAAATAGCGAAAACATTGGCGAAATAATGATATATGTAAAATAACACTAGTGATATAAAAACAAAATCGGTAAAAACTATTTTAATGCAGTAAAAAAGTAGAGTTTTCTTTCATTTTCATTTTCAGGAATATTTTATATCGTGAATAATTTTCATTGGGATCGAAAAATGAAAGTGAAACCTGATTTAACACATCGATAATACAAATAAAATCAACTATTCAGAAATGTACTGAGGGATATTTTTACACGACCAGTCAGGCTACCTTGACGCGATATAAACTAGACCACACTGAACTTTTACTAGTCAGAGTCGGTCGGACGTGCCGTAATGTTGAGCCCTGTCTTGTCATGGAGAACATTAGAAGCTCATACTCATCACAAACGTTGCTTATGAACTGAGGTTATGCACTGACCTTGACCTAAGGTCATTCCTACAAGTTCAAGGTCACTGGCAGAAAAGTGTATTTTTCATGTCAGGTTCCATAACTCTCTAACTGAGGCTAATTGGAAGTTGACACTTGACACAATGATTGCTCATGACTTGAGGGTGTGTCTTGATTTTGACCCAGAGCAGAGAATCTGTCATTTTTTTAAATTCAGGTCATTTTTGCAAGTTCACGGTCACATATGGACACTTTAATATTCAGTATTGCCATAATATTTAAAAAAAAAGAATAAATGAACATTTTTCATAGTGCACCTACTCCTCTAGTTTTGATCTGGTTTCAACAAAACTTGGAAAAAAAAAAATTAAATTTTTTTTTAAAAAATCAGGATACATGATTCTGTATTTAAAAAGAAAAGTGTTTCATGTCCAGTGCTATACTTTTCTCTTCCTTTATTATTTCACAAACCAGTAGAGCTACAGTCTCCTCAGAGACTTCTGGTTCCTGGTTATAATTATTTTGGGCTGTTTCTTTTGTTTAACTTGAATTCTTCTTCCTCAGAGCTTAATGAGTAAAATTATGCAGTGTGTACATTTGTAGGTGTTCTTTGTACTGTAATACTGCATAGTGTGATATAACAAATTTCTGCTTGTCTTGTATTTACATATTGATAAATTCTTGGATCAAGGCAAATTTGTGAATCCACAGAAATATTTCAATTCTCACTATAGTTAATCAAGTAATATAGATTGTCATGGAAACAATGAAGTTGATATATTACAATATTACAAGGAAAATGTCTTACAGATGTTATTTTATTACTTGCACAACCTTGAATTTCTATCTGGAGTTGTATATCTTGAATATTAGGTTTTTCCTAGTAAAATTTAATTATCTCTTGCCAGGTGAAGAGAAAATGTCCTGATGATGAAACAAAATATTCCCCAATTAAGAAAAAGCTACGCTCCACAACAAAACTTGCAACTGTAACTGAGGAAGCAACTTCTAGCATGAAATTTAACATTGGTATCCCATCAAATGTGTTTGCCCAGCATGTTGGTGAACTGCTTTCATACATGGAAAAATCTGTGTTGAATCAAGGACTCCTGGGGATGGTCATTCAAAAGACCAATGTAAGTAGGAAGAGGTATGAAATATATTTGTGGTAACTTGATGATTGATACTTTTACATGGTACATATCAATTTTTAGCTGGCAGGAGCCAAAAATAAACTGAACTTTATAGGTCACCTGCAACAATCACAATACATGTATATATTTACTGGGAAAAACCTTTAAAATTCTTTTCAAATACAATAAGGTTATAAGTTCTCAAACTGTTATTGAACCATCCATATTCCAACATGTAGTGAAAATTTATATTCTTAAAACTCATTGCTGTCTAGCTTTTTGTCTTTTTTTTTTATCTCTGAAACTTTAAATATTTTTTTGGGGTTACCTGCGTTACTCAGGTGATGTATTGCTATCTGTTTTCTTCCATTGTCTTCCAGTGGGCATCGTGCATCAGTCGTAAACTTTTGAACATTTTCCACTTCTTCTCTGGAATGACTGAATAAATTTCAACCTGTTATGGTATGCAGCATCTATGGGTAAATTAAGGGAAATAAAAATTGTGAATCTCATGGTCTCTGCATCCATGGGGTGTGAGGGGTGTGGCAAAAATCATCAAAATTTATGCAGTCTTCAAAAATTTTCGTGTTTACTCATGGACATCAAGCAGTCAAAGTGTCGGCATGATTATGATAAGCAAAAAGCCCTTTACTAAAATTGTGAAATTCACCCCTAGGTTCAGAGTTCAAACTCCAGGGTGGGGCTAATGTCATATATTGAAATGACATTTTTACCTTTTGAGAAAATCTTCTTCTTTACTCACAGAGGGGATCATGACCCCTGGATCAAGCATGGGGCCACAACTGAGAGTCAAATTATATATATGTGTAAACATGCTCCGAGTGCCACTGAACAACAATAAACCTTTTCAGCTACTGTATTTGGAATATACAAGGGATGGGGCTAACAGGCGGTAAGAATAAAGCAGGGGTCTGCTTCACTCATAAGTGCATAAAGCAAACCTAAGAAGCGAACGCCTGGTTCGCTGAAGTGGACCAAGAGCTGACCCTAAGCAAATGCAGAGCTGACCTCTAGCGAACCCAAAGCAAACGCAAATCTTTCCACAGCAGACCCCGAGTGAACCCAAAGTGAACTCAGGGTTCGCTCAGCTGTTAGGTTGTGTTTGGTTGGTACTGCATAAAGGAAAATTCAAGAAAGAACAAGTGTATGTGTGTTAATATAAATTAGTAGTAGCTCACACTGTTATGTAACATGTTGAATTTTAAATTTTGCAGATAATGTTCACTTATCTGAAAATCAAACCAGCGAGCTACGAAAAAATCAGGCGAAGGAAAAAACCAAGGTCTGTTATGTTTGACCCAGCATTGCAAGAAGAACCTGTACTTTTTTACACAGATCAATACAATTTCTTAAAGACGTATGAGCGTCAAGAAATTTTCAAAGCATTAATTGCTGTGAAAATGATGGAAAGAAAAGTCAGTAGCACATAAAGGAAAGGTAGAGACTGAACGTCTTTTTGTTTCAAAATGTCTTCTTTTTTTTCAAACACCATAACGATGAAAAGGGTTACTTTTTAAAATCACAAGTTGTATGTTGAGTTTCCTTTTCTATTTAGATGTTAAACGCTACAGTCGTGAAATTATTTAATCAAATATATAAATAGGAGGAAGATCATTTAATGTCAGTTTGATTAAGAATACTATGAAATGTACAGGTCAATATTCATGGATTTGAATAAAATTGCTTTAAATGCAGTTATGGACTTCTGAGATGGTAAATAGGGTTTGATTTTGACCAGGAAAATATCGGTTTTGACAATGACTAACTTCTGAGGTGGTACATATGGTTTGATTATCCACATTGAGCAATGTTTCATGTATGCCTTTGTATAACAGGGCTCAAAGTTGCAAGTTATTAACGCTTTATTAAATTCTCATTTCTGATTTGGTGAGTAACATTAAAAGCTGATTGCCACACCAAGATGGAAAATATTGTACTGGGTCAGTGTAATTTTTTTTGCCCTGGTTTCAGACTTCATTTGTAACATTCAAGATAGAAGATAAAAAAACCCAACAAAATGATCTAGCCCTGAATATTGATAATATTTAATAGGGTAATTGTTTTAATTAAATTGAGTAAAAAAATAAGCATTTTGGTTTTCCTAGTGTATTGAAAGCGTATACAATTCCTATTGTGTGTTCTACCGCGCCGTGACAAGGCTTTGTGTGTTATAAGGGTAAGATGTTATTTATTCTAATGGATTTCTTAAAGAAGATTACACTGAATTTAATTATAATACCATATCACGGACAATAGGACAAACGGTTGAGTTATTACTTTCATTTCAAGGTCACAAACGAAGAACCCAAGCAAGTGTAACGTCACAAGCGAAAATAAAAATTCACGCTTACATTGAACAGTAACAGATGCTCATTCAATTCAGCAGTACAAATGTGATGTGTATCACTTAAGCAGGTATATTATACTAGTACAAATTAATGCATTAAAAATATTTTGTGTAGACTGTGGATAACCTATAGATCTATAAATTGTTCAGAATGGGTGAGTACGATAAACAACGAAAATATCCTAGGTCAATTTGCGAACAAATCACACAAAGATACTGTAATGAGGCACATCAAAATTCTTAAGGATAAGCAGTCACCAATAAGAGTGTCCCAACATCAACCGGAAGAAATCGGAGAAAAAAGGAAACACCTATATGATGTACAGAAACAATACGCAGACCGTAACATAGAGACCGTGTTGAAGGGTCAAAAGCTCATTTTCACACAAAGCAAATCTGTGTATAGAGATAAAATTGGTAGCCGACCTATGGCCGATGAGATCATCAGTGGAGAAGAGGTGAAGATCGCAATCAGTACGGGGAAGACCACAGAAGACAATGGAAACCGGTTTGCTGCCCACTTAACGCCAGTAGACTCCTATAAACAGGTCAGGTGATCGCTTGTGGAAGTTATGCGTACAGAAAACACTGCCAGTGCAAGTCACAATATATATGCATTCCGGTTTTCCACTATTGATGGAACAATGCATGAGGGATCTGAAGATCACGGCGAACACGGAGCCGGGAGAATGTTACTCAAAGCACTCGCTGATAATGATATAAATAACGCACTGGTGGTCGTCTCGCGGTGGTGTGGTAGTAAAATCGGACCCAGACGTTTCACACATATCAATGAAGTTGGTTTAAGTGCAGCAAGAAATATGCCAGTCCAGACACTAAAATCAAAATTATGAACAGTCACGGGTTAAATATATATTAATAGTAACTCAGAGTTGTGTACATTTTTTTTTACTTTCATGGTAAATTTGCATTGCCTAAAATATTTATTTTGGTAGTTTTTCATAGGGTTATATTCATGCTGCATGTATATAATTATTTAAGTTCGTGATTGATATTTTCCGGAATTTGCTAGTTTATACATCGTATTTTTTGATTTTTTTTTAAAGTCTTGATTTCCTGTGTAGAAATCGTGCAGCATGGATCGTGCTTTGATTAATTTTCTACCTTATCACTCAACACAGGGCGGATCTATGTGCATAATTTCAATTTTAATCTAGTGTATGGTATGAAAATATGGTATGGATAAATATTTGTTGTAATTACATTGCAGACATATTCCGTTAATAGATATAACAAACATGGTAACTATAACAAACTGGAAAAAAAAACGAACAGGAAAGGAATTGAGTGTATTGGTTTCATCCCGACTGAAAGTACTTTTCCATAATTTTAACAATTCTTTTTTTAAGGTTAGCCCAATCAGTTTGTTGAATATTTTATAAAATAGCCTCAGGCTGTATTGCTGAACGATTGAAAACCGTATTGAATAAAATAATAAATAAGGACCAAACAGGCTTTTTAAAGGGAAGATTCATAGGTGAAAATATTAGACTGGTTTATGATTTAATGCATTACACGGAACAAAAGCAGATTCCAGGCTTATTAATGTTAATTGATTTTGAAAAAGCTTTTGACACTATATCATGGTAGTTTATATACCAAACATTAGACTTTTTTAATTTTGGGAAGTCAACTAAAAATTCGATTCAAACTTTTTATAATGGAATTTAATCGTGTCATACAAAATGGAATTTCTTCTGACTAACTGTTCCCTAAGAGGGGATGTAGACAGGGGGACCCAATTTCCCCATACCTTTTTCTAATTTGTGCTGAAGTTCTTGGGATTCTGATTCGAAATAATAAAGACATAAAGGGAATTATAATTGATGGGGAAGAATATAAACTTTCACAATATGCTGATGATACTTCAATTATATCTGATGGATCACCACAGTCTATGGATGGTATATTAAGAGAACTTGACTATTTTGCACTTGTATCTCGTCTGAAAATTAATTTCACGAAAACTAAAATGGTTTGGATTGGCAATTAAAAAAAATCTGAAGAAGTTTTTCATCACTCGAGATGAAAGCTATGTTGAAATTATTCTACTTTTGTTCCTCTTAGTATAAATTTTTCTATCAATTTAGAAGAAATGATTGAACTGAATTACCCCCTCAAAATTAAATGAAGTAAAGCGGTTAATAAAACAATGGCAGTTAAGAAAACTTACTCCAGCTGGTAGATTAACAGTGATTAAATCCTTGATTATATACCAAAGATGAACTATTTGATACTGACTATTCCGAACCCTTATAAGGAATTCCTAGAAGGATTTGAGAAAGACCGTTACTAGTTTTTATGGGGAAGTAAAATTCATAAGGTTAAGAAAAATGTTGTGATTAAAGGTTATAGAAATGGGGGTTGAAAATGATTGAATATATGGAGTTTCTATGTGCATTAAAATCAACATGGATCCGAAGACTGATTTACTCAAACACAAAATGGCTAAAACTTCTTGAATTAGAATTAGGAATGAAAATTGAATATCTATGGGAGAGAGGTTTAGACTGTTAATATGTGTAATAAAATAAGTAACAAGGTTTGGAAAGAGGTTTTACTTAACTGGGTAAAAATCAATGACTCTGGTAGTCAAAATAGTATGCAAATTCTTCATGAACATATATATGGTTTAATCCAAGAATTAAAATGAACAACTCATCTTTATTTTTGAAAAGTTATTTTGAGACAGGTTTGTTTTTGTAAGAGATCTATTTGACTCTGAAGGAAAATGTAAGCCTTGAGTACCTCACAAATCTAAATGTAAAAACAAATTTTGTAGAATATGCAGGTTTAAAAGTAGCTGTACTAAAAATATTGAAAATACAGATATTGAACAAAGAGAAGAAAATGGACCATTTATCCCCAATTCATTATATATTTTTATAAAAACACAAAAGGCTGTAAAGATATGTACAGTATACTCATTAAGAAGAAAAAGGAAGCAATTAAGGCACTAGAAAAATGGAAAAATAATAGAATATTTTTTTTGGGATATGGACTTGAACAAAATATTTGAACTTCCTTTTAAAGTTACACAAGAAGCAAAATTTCAGGAGAAGCAGTTTCAGATTTTGCACAGGATTATTGCAACAAATGAATACCTCTATAAACTAAAACTAAATGAATCAGATGGCATGTCCTTTTGTAAACAAGATGTTGAAACGATTAAACATTTATTTTTGAAGTGTTTTTGTGTAAGAAAAACATGGTGTCATATTGAGGAGTAGTTTTAAAAAAATTGATTTCATTTCTCCATTAATCTTGATAGAAAGGATATTATTTTTGGCAAAATCAACACTAAAAGCATGTTTAGACTACAAAATATGTAAATATTTACTGTTAAACAATTTGTTTGTAGGTTTTAAAATGTGCTTAAACTAAGCATATCAATGCTAGAAAAATATATTCTAGATAGAATATTAGTTGAAAAAAGTTTTACTTTTAAGAAATGTAAATTTTCAAAATATGAAAAATACTGGAAAACTATTTGTGATGTATTATAATGTATTTATTTACACAGATGTACAAGTATGTTTAAATACATGTACTTAATACTGCCCCACACTTTTTTTTCCACTTACCATCTTTCACCCCTTTTTCCGTTCTTTTTTATTCCTGTATGTAAAGCTTTCACAGTGAAAATTCATATAAATGTACAGCATTTCATATAATATCAGTTTGATTTTGAAATATATTCACTGTTAATGTAACATATATTTACTACAAAGAAAATATGTTATATAAAATAATAGGAAGCAGAAATGAAAGTATGTACTGATTGTTAATTAATATATGTATATTCTGTATATGTGAAAGCAAAAATAAAATCTATGGGGGAAAAAGCCTTTCATCCCATTAGGTGGCCCCATCCAATCCCCAGGGGTCATGATTTGAACAAATCTGAATCTACACTACCTGAGGATGCTTCCATAATAATATGACTGAATATCATTGCTTTGCCGTTCTTGAGAAGAAAATTTTTCCCTATTTTTTCCCATGTAAAACGTTGATCCCCAATTGTGGACCCACCCTACCCACAGGGGTCATCATTTGAACAAACTTGAATCTACACTACCTAAGGATACTTCTGTTTAAATATGTTTAATAATGGCTAAACTGTCCTTGAGATGAATATTCTTTAAAGAATTTTCCTATATGCACGTATTCCTATGTAAAACCTTGATCCCAATTGTGGCCCAACCCTACCTCAAGGATTCATGATTTGAGCAAACCTAAATCTACACTACCTGAGGTTGAACAAACTTGCTTTCATATCATAATGACTTCACAAAACTTTACTGTTTAGTCAAGATTTTTTCCTAAATATTCCTACGCAAAAGTTTAATCCCTTGTGGACCCACCCAGTCTAATATGAACAACCTTAAATCTACACCACCTGAGGATGCTTCTATAATAATATGACTAATTATCATGGCTTTACTGTTCTTGAAAAGAAAACTTTTTAAGATTTTTTGCCATCTATGTCTATGTAAAAATTTGATCCCCCAATTTGGCCCTAACCTACCCCTTGGGGTCATTATTTGAACAAACCTAAATCTACAAAACCTGAGGATGCTTCCAAATTAATATGACTCAGTAAGATTTTGCTATTCTTGAGAAGAAGATTTTCCAAGATTTTCCTCATGTTTGCCTATGTAAAACTTTGATCCCCCATTGTTGCCTCAGCTTACCCCTGGAGGTCAATGATTTGAATAAATTTGAATCAAGTCTATGTAAAGAAGGTTTCATATAAGTTTTAACTTTTATTGCAAAGTGGTTCTTGAGAGAAGATTTTTAAAAGATACCACCAATTTTTCACTATTTCTTAATTATCTCCCCTAGGAAGAGGGGGTGGCCCTTCACTTGAACAAACTTGAATTCCCTTTACCCAAAGATACTTTGTGCCAAGATTGGTTAAAATTGGCCCAGTGGTTCTGGAGAGTAGGATGAAAACGTGAAAAGTTTACGACAACGACGATGACAATAACGACAGTCAACGGGCAATTTCTATCAGAAAAGTTCACTTGAACATTTGGCTTAGATGAGCTAAAGAACATACAGCATAGATATAAAGTTTATTTTCAGATTCTGTTTGAACATTATTATAGTATCATCTAGGATAGTTCATTATCTATAATAATATATAATTTAAATGATGTTATCAATCACTACAGTTACATACTACAAATATATACTGAAACGCAAAAGAAACGCAACATCCTAATTTATGGGGAAATATTATATATATAAGATATAATTTTGTATCTTAAAAGTAAGGATCTTCAACTTTGTAAATATCGGTAATTTAACGGTTGAATGATTTTCATACCATTACCGGAAGTTAAGTTTGAGTCCGCTTAACAGAAATCAAAAATTGCATGTTTAACAAAACATTTGGCAATAATATTGGGTTTTAAGGATTTGTATCTGTTCCTCATAAGTAATGCAGCAATGTTTCGAAAAATAAATTCTCCTTTCTTTTCCGTAAGCGATGCCAAGGCTTCCTAAAAATGACTTAAGTGCGCATTTCTATTGCTCTAGCTGGGAAATCTCAAAATAAAGGTGATGGAGAGTTGCAGATGCAAATATACACCACATCACGCCTCAACAGGCTCTTATGTATCACTAGCATAAATGACAGTCCATGGACCGGAAGTCCAAGGGTTACTTCACTGCGCTTGGCTAGAGAAAATTCGACCTCATCATCTGAAAAACAGGCATTTAAAGATGGCAAGGAATATTTCTTCCGCTCAGATCTCGAGATTGATGAACCTATTGCATCGTAGAAATCAAGCTGCAACTGTTGCACATGGCAGTCTTGCACGCTGTAATTGAATGGCCGGGGTGGGGGGTGTTTTAACATTTATGTGTTACTTTCTGAAGTTAAAAGATAATCATTTAACATTTTTATCAAATCTTTGATGTTTTTAAATCGAGTTTTACATTACTGTATTCATTTTTGAAAATCATTAGATAAAAAATTCAAATATTTGTAGATTAATGCTTGTTGCGTTTCTTTTGCGTTTCAGTATAATACTAGTTTCATTGACTTTTTCTCGTTAGATAGTTTACACGAAGAAAACATATCTTTGTTTGAACGCTTATTGAGGATACTGTAGAATCATCATAATTCGTGGTGGATCAGTGGTCAGGTACTTGGTGGGACACACTTACCCTCGAATTTACATCCCAAATTATTTTCGCCAGTCAACTTAACGCTTCAATAAATCTTTTGTATAAATATGTAATTCTCTAAATAACGCCGAAGAGGTAAAATTTTGGTTGCCCAAAACATTTACTCCCACGAATTAAAATGATTCTAAAATCCAGTCTAAATTGAAACGTGAATATATTCTATGATCTTATAACTAATAATATAATATAAATACCCTAAGCTTAAAAGTTATGCCAGTCTAGATGTCCTCATTATAATAAATTTATTACACGAGGCACTAGTATTTCATATAAAATTATATCGGATAAACAAGGATGCAGCCAACATAACATTCTTCATCCATTGTGATGCATATTTTTTTGTCATTGACAGTTACACAGACTGGTGAAGGTATGTTTACTATCGACCTCATCCAATGCCCAGAAGGATTGACAATATCTATACTGTTGTTATTATTGTCTGCGACATAGAGATTGTCAAAATCATCGCAAGAAAGACCTTCTGGTTGAAATTCATCAGTCTTTCCGGAAAATGGTCCGGCATATTTCAGGCGAATTATACCATTATTATTGAGAACGACCACGCACTTCCGAAATATATCTGACACACACATTTCATCTTTGCTGTTCAGAGCTATGAATTTTGGGTGCTCAAAAATTTTATTGTCATGTCTGTCATACTCAATTTCTTTTTCCTCTACCAATTTGGTTCCTTCTTTGCTAATCATGACAATCCTTCCCTGCATTTTCCATTTATTATACATACAAATGTAAATATTATTATCACGATTTGTCAAGCCAGTAAGTGCCCATTCCTGTGAGCTATATAAAAGAGAGGTTTCGCCATTTTCAAATTTCATTACCGTATTCATCTGACAGTTGGCGAAATATACAGCTTTGGGTGACATGGCTATGAAATTTGCGTTTGCAGCCAACGGCATTTCTTTTTGTAGTCCATTTGTTAGTTCTGTATAAAAATTTGAGCCATCACAAATATAAACTGAATCCTTTGTTGCACACATATCCTTAATAGGTTTGGATTTTCCAAGTCTTAGCAAGACTGGCAGATCATTCGATTCATTTTTTTCCAGGTTATATTGGTATTTCCCAGACATGGAGGTTGTATCACGTCTCTCAGGATTCGTATGCCAGATCTCAGAGTAATATGGCTGTGTTTCTTTAATAATGCGTCGTGATTTATATTCGTTTTCAGTCTGATAGTAAGGCAGATCTTCGTCTTGGTGACGCTGCTGATATTTTTTGTAGGAATGTGGTTGACGTTCGTGTTCGTAATAAATCTGCCTTGGGTTTTCATGTTGAGCTAATCCTTGGGCATGCCTTCCTACCTCTTTTTCCCTAACAGGTGACAAACGTCTTCGATTTTTCGGATCATCAGAAAGATCAGTCTGTCTTCTAATTTCAGATGTCTGGTCACTTGTGTCGTGAAAATGTCCTGAGACACTTTCGAATGATGAACTCGATGAGGTTTCGCTTGGTTCTAAAATTTGTGCATCTTCAAATATTTCTAAATGAAGTTGTCTAATTTTATCTTTGCACATTTTCAATCGAATGGGGTAAGTTGGGCTTTCAAATAGTATATCTTCCCGAATCAATTGAATTAATTCATTCATTCGTGTTCTACTGCAATCATTTTCACAATTATTCCCTGATCCACAGTAGCGACAAGGACTAGATGTTGAGAATGTACGCCTTAATCTCGAAGGTCCTTGGGGATAATCGAAACTTCTACTATTGCTAGAATTTGGAGAAAACTCCGCCATTGTCTATATACCAATAACCTAAATGTGACATAAAATATCTTGTTAAATACATCTTAGAATAAGTATGCATTAAAAAATAATCAACGACCAAAGATAGCTCCCCTTTCCATTTTTTTAAATAAGAACCGATGTATATCGAAACTGGAAAATATCAAATAAGTAAAACATCTACACAATAAAGGTGGAATCGGAAATAACACACTATCCTAACGCCACAACTAGCTTTTTTTTAAAATCTAAAAATAAGTTTAAATAGTGATGTGTTTAGAAAATGTCTAATGGATAACTTAATGGAGTTAAATTTTAGAATTTAAAATTTAATTCAAATGAATTTTCAACGGCACAGTTGACATAAATGTCTCTGTAGTCAGCGTTACACAGTACATAAGTAGATTGGTTCAACTCTCGAAATTAAGTGGTTCATTTAAGTAATGTTTACATAATTCATTTTTGAATTTCATAGAAGCATGACCTGATACTTTTCAAAAATGAAAATTGCGTTAGCAATTGGGTGGTGGGGTTTCGATTTCTGGAGATGGCCTACTATACATTTTTTTTTTTTTTAAACAGCATTATTCTAGTGTATCTTCTGGTAACTGTTAAATCCTTTGCTTCTGATATCATTTTGAATAAAGGTCACAATACAATTTCTTTTTTGATTTTTTTGGCATTCTTTACATATACAAAAGTTTATTTTTCAATGTGTAATATGTTGTATCTACGATTTCTGTTATGTATATTTATCCTGCAACTACCCCTTGCATTGACCTAATAAAGGTAACCTAATAAACCAAAGCTTTATTCGGTCAATGCCCTAATAAAGCCTCGTGCTGACCTATTGACCTTTCAATGCCGGACTACTTTGTTTACTTAGCGACAAAATGGACGCTGACGCCTTTGACCTCCAGTTTGACGTAAGCAATGATGAAGAGGTGGATCAAAACACTTTAAGCGACACGCATGACGAAGGTTTGGCCCCTCCTGTATCACCCGAATTAATTCCCATCCTTGATATTTCTTTCGATGAAAATTTATCTGATATTTTGAATGACTTGGAACAAAATCCGTCTGCAGAAATTTCAGAATCAGCAAGGCCTACCGTACAAACTGAAGTCCGAGTCAACAATGACCCTCAGTTTATTGATTTGAAATTTAACGATGTTGAAACTTTCATAACTAATCAAGAAAACTCAAACACAATTAAGAAAACTCTAAAAGATGTGAATCTTGTCAGAAAATTCCTCAAAATGAAAAATGAAAACCGCGATTTGAATGAAATTCCGTGTGACGAATTGGATCAGCTTTTAGCAATGTTTGTGTTGTCAGTAAGAAAAACTGACGGTCAAGAATACGAACCAAGTTCTCTCAGATCTATAATAAGTAGTTTGGACAGAAAACTAGGACGACAAAAATATGGGCATAAAATCATGGATAGTCAAGACGATTCCTTTCGTTTGACTCGCGACGCCCTAAAAGCAAAACAAAAAAATCTGAAAAAACAAGGCAAAGGCAATAAACCAAGCAAAGCTGAGGCAATTTCAGACGAAGAAATAAACATATTATATGAAAAGAAAATCCTTGGTAATGAAACCCCCGAGTCCCTCATGTATACTCTCTGGTTCAACAACTCTATTCATTTCGGACTACGAGGAGTGACCGAACACTATAATTTACGCTGGGGGGATATTAAACTCAAAGTATCATCAGATGGGACAGAATATTTAGAGTATAATGAAAGGCAAACCAAAACACGAACAGGCGACAATATTGTTGACATACGCCAGGTCAAACCCAAAATGTTTTCTTCTGGGGATATAAGAGATCCTGTTCAATCTTACAAACTGTACTCGGCCAAAAGACCTCTTGGATTTTCTTCGGATGAAGACCCTTTCTATCTTTCAAAACGCACTATTCCTCTAGACGACCCCAGAAGTAATAAATGGTATTTAAAACAAAAAGTTGGGGAGAAAAAGCTCGCATCCTTCATGAAAGAAATGGCTGTTAAAGCCAACTTTACAGGGAAAAAACTAACAAACCACAGCGCGAGAAAGCATCTTATTCAAAAGCTCCGTGATGAGAATGTCCCACCGACAGATATAATGCAAATAAGTGGACATAAAAATGTACAATCTGTCTTAAACTACAGCTCTATTACCGAAAATCAACAGAGAAAATACTCACACATTTTGAGCAGCACTTCAGTTGATCCCAGGCCTAATCCTACATGTACGAGTAATCCACAATTTATACAAAACAATGCAACTGAAAATTTCAATTTAGATCTACAAGTGTCGGAAGCCTCTTCATTCAGCCAGATGAATTCCATGTTCTTTGGGGCGACACTTCACATCCAGAATTTAAACATTTACACTGGACATCAATCATAAATTCACAATAATTTAACTTTCGCCACTTTGTTTTCATGCGGTTTTGACACTGTTACAAATTTACGTCATTTGTTTACAATCTACTTCAAAATTACATTCGTCGATTATTGCTAATTCAAGTAAAATTTTGATGATATTTTATTTAATAGATATCTTAGTCAATCATCAATTTTATCTTTGTGCTTTGTTTTACTAGATCTACATTTTTTACAATCTGTGTAGACTTACGTTATTATGCGGAAGGATAAATGTTTCACGCTTCAACCTAGCGGTGATGCGAGCTCAGCGCAATAATATAACGAACACGCAAAATACTTTGAATTTTACTTTTTTACCAATTTATTATTTGAAAAAAGTTGCAGGATAAACAAAATACGTGATAACTGTCTTGAAATATAAGCGATATTTGGGCTCGGGTCGAAAACGTGATAGAGGGCTCGGCAAGCCTCGCCCTCTATCACGTTTTCTTACCCTCGCCCAAATATCGCTTATATTTCAAGACAGTAACCATGTATTTTATATTTATTATGACGTTGACACTGGCGACTGCCTACATACCTTGTGAAAAATCATCGTTAGACTAGGACACTTTTAGAGAAATGTTTGTGGCGGTGGATGTATTGGTATTTTCCAGCAAACTTGTGGTGAGAGAAAATGTTAATAATTAAAATAAAATACCATACCATTCAGAATTAATGAAGAACAAAGGCTTCCAGAAAAGGACTATAGACTACCTAGGTCCCACTTATCAGCGCATTTCTTCATCAAGATTTAACTTATTGTTCAACCTGTATTTAAAATTTAAAATCTTCAAAGGAATTCAAAAGGCATTGTTTGTAAATTTAGATTATTCAATAAATTGTACACTCAAATGTTTTTTTTTTTAACACTTTTTTAACAAGCAGTTTTATGAGACTCAAGTATGCCAAATATTGTAATGGGTAAAGAATGATACCATGGGTCTATTTAAAACACTGATATGACTCGGACTAATGGAATAGTTTGAGATCTTTTTTTTTACCCCTGTTTGTATACGTATAGCCCTTGGCTATATAAAAGACTGCATTGGCAGAGTGAATCATTCTGAAACCCGTAGAAGAAACATGAAGTAAATTGGAAGAGAGAAGGTAACATTGGTACCGAAGTATTAAAAAGGTGAAAGAGAATTAAGGCTAGATGCAGGGAGCCAGTCATATAATTATTATAATTTATAGTACTCGCTAACGAAGAATTTCTGCTTGCATCCCACTGTATAAAGAAAAGAACCAAGGACAAGTAACTCTATGAATAATAATAAATAATCATCGTTGTATATAATATTGATTACATGTATTAATTGTTAGCTCAAGTAAAGCCAGACGAAAATTACATTTATACTTGTCTGAATTAAGACCTTGTATCCCTTAAAAAAGAACCCGTTAGTTACACGTTACATTTTGGTGGCAGCTAGTCAAGGGATAGGGTAAAAAAAATTGTTAGAATTTAATGAATAAATTTGATTTAACTGTGTGAACCAGATTCTATTGAAAGCAGATAGTATTTTTGTTCAAATACAAGGTACCGAGTTCTGTGTGCAATGTAATAGATACATGCACCACAGTAAGATTTATCATAGTTGAGTACCGAGTGTTTTTGTTAGATAACCTAGTATATAAAAAAAATGATGAGTGATCATGAATCAGAACTCTGGGCGGACCTTGAAGAAATCGACAATTAAGAGATACTTTGGACTTTGGAAAAGTTAAAGTCTATGCGAAGCACATTTAATGTTAGTAAGCCTTCTCTTGTAACTCATTCTGCGTAGACTTAAGGCAAAAGACTAATGACGACAGCATAGATGAGTTGACGGGTGAAGTTGACATAAGCCCCACCACAAGAGAAAAACATGTGAAAGGATTTACGGATGGATACAAGGAACATAAAGCCCAATGCTGTGATTTCCATATTCCTGGAAACAAAGACATTTGGGGAAGAAGCGATGTTTATACCACACAGAAGTTAATGTACTCAGGGGTGTCACTGGCTGAATCTGAATATACCTATACACCTTGAATCTCAACTCCGCGAGTACACTGGAGGAGCACGTTAGGTGTTAGCTCAATGTCAAACCCACAAGTGTTACATGGAGTCTTGCGAAGGACAGAGACCCTGTAACAAGTAACATAAATATACTGTATATGAACTTTATTTACAATTACAAACTCAAACAAACACGCAATATCTTAAAGAATTTTGATTTTGGATGTAACTTGAAAAGGGCCGTTTGTTTTCTGTTTTAGAAAATAATTTAGACACACAAAGAGGACAAATAGATATATAGTCGTCAATCACCAACGGCTCTCGTTACGTTTTCCATTTTAGCCCCTGATATACTTCGCGATCAAGAATCAACATACCCCGTCATTACAGGTTGATTTGTGATTCGCTGACTTCCGAATAATGTTTTAATCTTAATTGATTTTATATATTTGTAGTCCCACATGTATAGGATAAATCCATTTCAAATAATTTACATTTTACAGATTTCGAATCTGCTGTTCTTTTAAAATACTTTCAAGCTTTATATGTTGTAAAATTATGTTCTAAATGGTCTAAATGAGGTAATTATAACTCAAGTCTTCAAACCTTGTAAAAACCCTGGCAATCAAGGGTATCAATTACATAAACTGTGAAAACTAATTTAAAAAAAAACCCATCCTATTTGTGAACCACTAGATCAAAATCTAACGGTAAACAAAATTAGGGAAATGTGTAAGTATATATTTATGAACAATATAACATTTATTTTCTACGCATTTACTACGTAAAATGTACTTTATCCGAGTAACCGAATTGCAGTTTTACTAACCGATACTCGCATAGTTCGACGGTTAACCGGGTACTCGTTGACAACACTAGTCTATAAGAATAGTTAGAACTAGAGCGAGCTCGTTGCAAAGCAACGAATAGGTCTTCCGTTGGAGCTGCGGAAGGAAGAAGTGACCTTGAGTCAAGGTCATGCCACATTCTAAAGTTATACATGTAAGCAATCTTGTAAGGGGAAGCAACTTACAATATTTCGCTAGGAAAAACTGTAAAGGAATGTACGTGACCTTGAACATTCCAAATGCCTTGCGTCAAACCATGACACACTCTCATCATAAAACCCAATCTGTGTGTTACCGACTTGAAAAGTTCACAGTGACACGTCATGTTCTTTTAGTCCATACATACAGTCAAAACATCTTATCCTTAGTGACCTTGAACTTGAGTCAAGGCCATGTCACACTCTGCATGATACCAGCAATGTTTCACTAGTACAAATACGGTAGCGAAATTACAGTTTCTCTGTCAGTGACCTTGACTCGACCAAATGACCTTGCATCAAGGCCATAACACACACTGGTTAAAAGCAATCCCAGTCTGTGAGTTTCTGAATGGATAAGTTCAGCCATGTTTTTCAGATCATACAGCGAGTCGGAATAATTTGTTAGGTTCAACATAATGATTAAAAAATTCATTGAGAATGTTTTATGCCCAGTTTGGATAAGTAGTAAAACGTGGAGATCGGTCCTTAAGATGAGACCGTATAAGGTCTCGTGTCGGGGTAAGTGCTAGCGTGAAAAGGATCTCTCATGCTATAAATTTTGAATTTACCGGGTGGCAGTAAATACTGACAACCGGTAAGTTCAAAATTTACAACATGACAGATCCATGGCACTTGATTCTACCTCTGATTTCAAAAGATTTGCACTGTTCCTGATTTGTATTGTTTGAATGGTCTTTTAAGCTTGAATGCTGCACAGGTGCTTGTGGACAGGACCCCCCCCCCCCAATATACACCCCGGGGTCCAAGAATATTTTTATTCGTCTTTTTCCATAAATTAATCTTCTAGTACACATTTACAATGTACTCCATATGAAAAATCCATAAAAATAACGTAGAATTAACGTTTTATTAAAAAATCATACCCGCGGTATTATGAAATAGAGAAGGTAAGTCACTGCCATTTGTTAACACTGGACCCCTCTTGGATATCAGGCCTAAAATATCATATACATGTACCTACCACATGTCACCAAAATATGTTATTATATCTTGTTTCATCGTCGCAAGCCACGGGTTTTGTGTCCATTCTATTTCCACAAACCCGTGGCTGCCTCCTTCAAATTTCTCTCGTTCTCATGAATGTTAATAACATACATTCAACCAATGGAATAACATCTGACGCTTCAAGTCAGAACCAATGAAAATGATCAGTCTATCTTGTATTTGGATGTAACCATAACCACGAGCTGTACATCAACTTCGGTTCGAATTTCCTTTCTTAACGAGTAACGCTATTCAGCGTTCTCACACAACGTCTACATTCGAAACCCTGTATTTTAATGTAAAACCTTGTAAGTATTTTAGAATATACGTTACTCACGTCTGTTCTTCAGGATCTATCGTATTTTTTTTTTTCAATAAATCTGCCACGCTTTGCAAACATGATTTCATTATGGGCACCGCCATTTAAGCGTACCAAAAATTGCTACAGAGTGATTTCATTGGTCAGGGTAAATCTGGCGTCACTTAATAAATATTCAATGATTCAGTCGCGAGAACGAGAGAATTTGGTAGGAGGCAGCCACGGGTTTGTAGAAATAGAATGGACACAAAACCCGTTTCTTGCGACGATGATCTTGTTTCGGTAGATATTTTTTGTCTTTAATCGTGCTATTTAAACGGAAGACCTTAAAGAGTGTCTGTAGCTGTCACTATTTCGGTGTTTTTCAGAAACTTGATCGTAGAATTAGTCAAAGTCCACAACTGGACAATAAACTGATAAATCGGCTACAGTATATTATCTGTTCACAGAAACGACATATTGAAACTTGAAAAAAATAATCCAGAAGCAATTCATTGCATTGAAATTCTATCATGAATATTTTGTTTTAATCGATGGACTCGATAAATCAATAAACTGACCGAAGGAAAAACGTTGCACGTGCCGTAACATTCTGTACGTTTTTTTTTT